GAGAATTACTTTGAGCAGAAGAAGGCACTTGGCAGCACATAGCCTGTTCCAAAATGCTGTTTGATGGTTCAAGAGGTGGTAAAGGCACATGGCAAACCAAGTCTACTCCGTACTGTCTGCTTTCTGTGGTTGCTATAGAAACCCTCAGTCCAAACCCCCAGAAAGGCAGAATGTGTGTAATCAGCTCTGCAGAGTGGGGGAAGTCCTGCTAGGGTTACTCCCAAAGAGCCGCGCTGAAATAAAGATGAATTCTCTTTTTTCTTTCAAACTCTGCAGGCCATAAAGCTCACTCTCTCTCTCAGAGATTTTCTCATTCCTCATGCTCCCATTTAACAAGTGGATGTAATCACGTTCCCGTCTTATTAAATATGCATGTTTAATTTGTCTCAGTTCATATTTCAGGAGGTGAAGGAGTTGCTGTCGTGGGACTTAATTTACTAATGAGGAAGAAAAAGATTTGAATCCAGAGCTGCGTTTTCTGTATCAGCTTTATTTTGTTTCTTCAAATGATGCACATGTATTTCACTTTCTCTTCTGATTGGCTTTACAATACTTTGCATATGCACGAGGAAGATGTTCTATGCAGACTGTTGGCTGCCTTTATTTATCGGATTGTGATTTCCACTACAGAGAGACAGCAGGACATGTGCTGTAGCTGATGGACCAGATTCAAATCCAGACTGTTTAGGTTACACGGGGAGAGAATTAGGACACGCTCGCACCTGTTTGGACTCATCTAAACCTCCAGAAGATGTGCTCCTTTAGTTTTTATGATATAGGCAGGACTTGAATAGCTGCAGCGTGGTGTGAAGCTAAAATATTGAGGTGTTGCTTGGTGAAAGATAAATTCTGTGACTCATTTGAATTTGCATGATTTTCCAGTGCCAGTCTCTGTGGTAAACTTTGATGTTCTGTGCCAAAAGTTTCTCTGTGTTGCAGCAACACGGATCACCGTTGACTGGATTCTCTGTCGGTACATGGGACTTTTTTTTTGAAAGCTTGCAATAGTGTAAAACTGTAACATACCTGGAGCAGGCTGCTGGCAAAATATGATATCATGTTCCTCCACCAGGTTGCACAAAGGCAGAAATTTTAACACTCCTTCTTAAGAAACAGAATTTAACCCATTCAGGGCCAGTTTTCCATTTTGCTTCACCCAGGCGGCTCTGAGGCTGAGAAATGAAGCCAACACATAAGTGCAGTTCCTCAAATGGTCACTTGAGGCTTTAAAAGTGTGTCAGTACCCACAGACCCCCATGTTAAAATGTCTAACTTTACAGCAGAAAAAAACATGTTTACAATCTCGCATTAAAAACGGTTCCAGTCTCTATAGCTAATATATCTGTTCATGACAACTATATAGAGAATTAACTTTTATATAACTCACCCATATAAGTTGTATTAAGGCTTAAAGTTATATATATTTAAAGACATGGCTGCGTTCAGGGACAAGTCATAGGACAACCCATGCTGTCTATTGTACTGTTTAAAAGTAGAGAAAAGTATGTGAGTACATTTTCTCAATTACTATTGAAGTACTATTTCCATTTTATGCCTGGCTGGAGATTTTGTTTAAGCATTAGGGAGGACACATGAAGCAGAGATCAGGCTGAATTAACTTTGAGCATCAAACATTACATTTCCTGCACTTTGGTGAATTTGTGTCCATCTATTTGCACCTTTTCTGCATCAGTTTATGAACTCAAGGACTTCAATAGTTCAGATGTGTTTCAGCAAGATTTCTTCTCATTTTCAGAACTTTCTGCAGCTTTCTGTGTTTGATGTGTTGAATAAAAAAAAAAACCTGTCACTGATAGAGATTGTGTTGCATGTTCTTAAAATCCTTATTTCACGTTTTTATTGAAGAGAACAAAATCTGTTCCTGTGTTTTTATGCTACTTTATACTTTAACTACACTACATGTCAAAATATTTTCTACTCAACTGCATTTATCTTTAGCTACTATTGAGGTGAAAGTTTTACACAAGTTGTTGCTGAAGATTAAACCAGTGGCCTCCAATGCTTCTGGCTTCTTATAAACATCAACAAAATGTTGGGCTCACATTTGTGATGAAAGATTAGAGAAAAATTGATTCCTGTCAGATGATGTGCTATTCAGTGAACTGATTTATGTGCCTTGTTATTTTTATTAGTATTATTATTTTGCACACATTAATCATCAGATGACCGCTAAGATTAATCTGCCGTCCCTGTATATAAAACTGTAGATAAGTTTAAGCTTGCAGTAGTTGCAACAGTAAGATGCTGCTGACAAACTGATGCTTCACTACTAGTGACGTCAGACATAATAATAAATCAGTCAGAGGGTCTAAACCAGCGCTATTACTTTCATACATTGATTGCGTTTCGCTGCTACAATTAATATATTATTATTAGTTGGTATTTTTTCATGCATTGGTGCAACGGTTCCTCTACTTAAATGAAGAAACTGAACACTTCATCAGCTATTGCTGTTTACCAACCAGCTGTGTTGCCAATTAATGCTGCAAAATACTAAAAACAAAGCCTGCTCAATAAATATAAATCCTCAAACTGTAAAAAAAAAACAGCATAAAATCCCGAATGTCACCATCATAGATACAAACATTTCAGTTTGACTTGAAGATTTTGTGATCAAACACTCCAGATCAGCCCCTTCCTTCAGAATCACCTCGTCTGTCATGAGCTACTTCCTCTCCTCGCCTCTCTTTTAATCAGCCCGCCCCAGATGGAGGCTCATCAGCGCTGCCCTCCTCTTTCATTTACGCTCTCTGAGAGAAAGCTTGTGCATTTCGGACCCACTCGAGCAGAGACGCCCCCCCCACCCACCCTCGGTCTTCCTGCAGCTGCCAGAGTCGGTTCCCAGGCCGGGAGAGAAGGTGTACGCAGATAAGAAGTCTTTATCTGGGCCCCCGAGGGAGGCAGGTTAAGTTTAAGGTGAAGGTTTGACATGGCGGCCCGTCTGCTCCCTCCTTCCTCCTCCACCTCCTGATGCGAGGCTCAGGCTCAGTCCTCGATCCCCATGTCCCTGGGCTCATTCTTGACGGCCCCCACTGCTCGGGCTTTAATGAGAAAGATGAAAGAGGTGCAGGCTGGGAGAATACCCGCCACCTCCTCCTCCACCGCCCCATTCACTTTGCTCCTCGTCCCGTTTGTTCAGCCCAGCCTCGCTCTCATCATGGGCCCTGCAGCACTAACTCATCCAACACTTTCCTTTTTTTTTTTTTTTTTGCAGGAGTGGAGGGGGATGTTCTGCTGTAATAAATTGGTAGTGAGGCTGCTTTCTATTTTAAATTTTTCAGGTATTATTCCCTCTGATCTTATGTGCAAATTTCTTCCCTTCCTTTATGCCTTGTGTTCTGGCTCTGTGGCTCTGCTGGAGGTATGTTTTAATCATAAAGGCCAGGAAACTCAGATTTACTGAAACCTCCTTTCTTGTCTTGTAAGTTACAGTTTCATTCTGTGTGAGTGTTCATGAAGTTTTAATTGCTGTGACAAGACACCGTAGCTTAATTAAACAGATCAGCTTTCTCCAAACAACCAATTCAATTTATATTCAAAGTATTTTCTGTGTGTTTTCATTAAATGCACAAGTGCTAGTCATAATTATATCCATTACACGCTGGATTTAAAGTTATGTACTGCACAAAATCATACAAAAACCCGCAAAACTGCTGACTGTGTGAGTTTTTGTGGTAGTATTTGTCTTAATGAATGCCTATCATACTTGTATTGTATTGAACACTAATTGTATTATCAATTTCCAAGCTGTAGCATGTCATCACAGCTCATCGGTACACACAGATGTGCTCACACCATTGCTTTTACTTATCTATAGTTTGCTGTAGTTGTAATTTCTTTGAAGATAAGGTCAAACTAATGTAAAGAAACATGGTCAGACTTCCAACTTTTGAGTCCAGCCGTCCCACTTAAATCTAATACTTGTTTTTTTGAATCTACAGCAGGGGCGCACACACTTTTTCAGCAATCGAGCTACTTATAAAATGACCAAGTCAAAATGATCTACCGACTATAAAAATGCAAAACATATATTTATTTATAAATATATTTAGTATTGTTTAGCTGCATGAATCCAAATTGCACAATACAACTCTGTACATTTTTCGTCATTACCTTACTCTGATGACTTGCACTGAATGGAATCAGCCAGGGATGCACAGTCCGGACAGTAGCTGCTTCAATGCTCAATGCTGTAGATTCTACAGCATTGATTTCACTGATTAGTAAAGACCTTAATGGTGTCTGAACAATAATCACAACTGTTCAATCACTCAGAGTCCTGCAGCAGCAGATGGCGAACTGAAAACTCCCTCCAGAGACGTGATCCATCTGACAAAACAAGTCCCAGAATCCCCATAAAACAAGACTTTAAATAGAGAACAGTGTTACTGTCCAAAAACAAGGAAGAAAATTAAAGTTTATTTGGACGAAATCTACTCAGTTAAATTGCATGTATACAGATGCAGCTCAAACAATTAGAATATTGTAAAGAAAAACAAAAGTTCATTAAAAGTCTTGAAGTATTTCACCTCACATGAAGTGAATATAGAAAGTATTAAAGTTTACATTTGTTTTATATAATTACAAATACAAAAAAAATGAACTTTTTCTCAATATTCTAATTGTTGGACCTTCACCTGTAGCTGAATATGGATCCTGTTCACCGTCAGCTACAATTGAATGCTTCCACCTTGTGGTCAATTGATAGATTGCAGCAATTCCTCACATAAACTTAAGATTGTGGATTTTCTTCACTTATATTAGAAGCATGTTATAATGGTATCTATTAACAGGCAGCATGAACAAAACAAATGATTACAAGCAACCAAAAGCTGTCAATATAAATTCAAAACAGGCTAAAAAGACCTGTCAGTAATGTTATTCCACATGTATACAAAGATCTTTTCATACTTATTTCTACTGCAGCAAAGTGATACGTTGGAATAATGTTGTATAGCACTAAAACCCAAAACACATGAGGAGTTTGAAGGAGTGTTTTATTCAGCAGAGCACTTTCTGTAAGGCTAAAATACAAAGCAGCTCCTGAGTAACAAACTATAGATATTCCTGAATAAATACAAGGCAAACAGCACAGCCTTTAATCAGTAACACTTTCCTTATAGAGAGTTCTGACTGAGACAGAAACAGCCTTTAAGTGTAACCAACAAGTAAAACCAACAAGATGCCTGGTTGATTTTTTTTAACCAGCATGATAAAGTCGACAGCGCACGGCTTTAATCACCGTTTACACAAGTACGAAATGTAAAGGACTTGACATCAACAAAACACTGATAAAAGTAGCGAAACATGTAAATGGTCCACAAGGACGACAATCTTGAGAAAGAGCTCTAAAGATAATATTAGAGTTGTGGGATCTTTTTTGTTTTGTTTTTTTGGAGTTTCTTTGGTGATTCTGTTCAGTTCATTGGTTCAGTTTCATACGTTCTTGGGTTTGTCCTGGTTGTTCATGTATTTCTGGTAAACGACTCCCAGTGTGGTGAAGAAGTTTCCCATGAAGAGCACCATGTAAGAGCAGCCGCACATGGCAACCTAGACCACAGCAAAAGAAATAAATACGCATCGATCAGCCACAACATTAAAACCACTGAAAAACACTGATCATCTCAGTACAATATGATGTTCTGCTTTAAAAACATTGAGTCTGGAATTCATGTGGATGATACTTTGACACACCCATCTGAACACTAGTGCAGACCATGATCCCCAAAACCTGCTCAGGAGGAGCTCGAGGACCACGACAAAGAGCGCAACATTCAGATCCACTTGAAAAACATTAAGTGAAGTGTGCTTTTGGATTTGTTCAAAACAAACTAACTTAGACATTTAGAAACTAATATTTTATAGTGAGAGGTTTCACAAGTCACTGACAAGGGAACACTGAAGCTGTCTGATGTACAAACCTGCCACTCTTTACACTCTGGGAGCTGGAACATCTTGAACAGTGTTATGCTGTTGTAGAGTTGCCAGAACTGTAAAAGACACATCAGTGAACAGTCAGATTTAGGGTAAATATTATGCAATTTTGCATTTTAAAACTTTGACTTTCAAACAGATTTTTTTCAATTTAGTTTATTTCAATCAGAAATTCACCATTTTTATTCTTCAGGATAGACAATGATATGTTATATATGTTGTTTTCAATAAAAACCTATATTAAAGAGCCTTAGATATCAATCTACTCACATGACCAAAGAACAAAAAAGGAAGGAGGAAGGTCAAGCCTCTCCACATCCAGGACTGGAAACCCTCTGAACACCATTAGAGAAGAAAAGAGAGTCACTGAGCTGAGATTAATTTAACCTTCATTAGACTATATTCTTCCTGTAATGCATTAATACAATAAAGAGGAATACAAAGATGTGACTGTAACACACAGTTGGCATAAGATAACAGGTGACGTGATCCATATGTAAAGTAAATGCCAGGATTTGAGAATTTAAAGATACATATTTAAACACAAGAAAATAATTCTGGTAAAACCCTTTCAAAATAAATGAAAAAAAGCAAGTGACCAACATACAGCATGTACTGAGCAAAACATTTTCCAGCCAAACAAGAGTTTGGAGCGATGCTAAGTGCTAACATCAGCATGCTACCATGGCTACAATGTCAAAGCCAAAGATGAACCACATTAACCATCTCAGCTAACTGCATTAGCATGCTGAAATCCGCTAATTAGCACTAAGCATAAAATCAAATCCTGCAGTTGCAATGTGAGCCATGATGTCAGTGAGAATGGTATTTTTTGCATTTCTTTTCCACAGAAACAAAAATAAAAGTGATGTCCCCTTACGTCTGGAGAATATTGTTTGTAGGCCGGAGCATCTCTGTAGCATCCAGTGCTTCATTTATGGTATTTTGTCACACATTTTATGTTTATCAAAAAATTTCACCTCCTGCAATTTGGATATTTCATTTCAGTATTGACATACTGCAGTTTCAATATTATTTGCAACTAATTGTTCAACCCTTAAAAATACAGCAGAGACGGATGAGTTTTTTTCAAGGTTTCGTCATAAACCGTAGTACTGGACAAATTAAAATTATGATCAGATGATGGCACCACATTTATGAGCATAAATCTCTGTGCAGTTCAACAGTTATTGAGACATTTCACTCAAAATCTCAAATGTCAATTAGCGGTTGGGTTTCGATGAAAAGTCAGTAGAATTCATTCAGCTTAATGACGATTTATCTGATATTTGTAGAGATACAACACATCGCGACCAAAGTGGGGACGAACAAACTCAACCACACTGCTAATCCCACATCAGTGCTGCTGCTGTGGCTAAAATGGAACTTGTCAGTGCTCTCTGGTGGACAAGCTATACCTCAAAGAAATCATTCTGTAATGCAATTTCTTTTTAGTTATTGACCAAAATGGATCAGTCGGTTATTAATATCAGCCAATATGTTATTTGGCTTCTCAGACAGTTCCGTACTGCAAATTATACTGTGTGGATCATTTGTTTGTGTTTTTCTTGTTCAGAGTCGATCAGTTATAAATGTAAACCGACGCGCTGGTGACTTACAGAGGTTTGAACAGAACTCACCGACTGTCAGGTCCATGTTGTGTCTTTCTCCGAGCGCTCTGAGTCTGTACAAGCAGCCGCTCTGGTAGTAGTACTGGAGGAACTGGACAAAGCCTACTTAGCAAACGGACAGAAACAAAGGAGTGCATACATGACTTCATTGTTGGCCAAGTCATCGTTTTCGCAGTTGTCATGTTGATGACTGTCAGCAGCAGTTCATTCTGTAACTGTGTCCATTTTAACCAGGTTTCATTAGGTTCAACATTCACACTGAAAATATGTCAAAATAAGTATCAGCAGGAACATTCAAAGATTTGTTGAAGATGTTAGTTTCTCAAAATGAAACTTTCTCAAGTGTTTTGGTACAAGCCTTGCACATACTGTGTATCATTTCTAATTATTACAAATTTTGTATTTTTTCTGTATATTCTCTCATTTTGTATTTTTTTATGTACCTCCTGCTTAAATGAGTTTTTTTTCTTTCCATACAGTAAGTTTCCAGTTCTTTATATACTTTCATTACGATCTCAAGTATATTTACAGAACATATATAAAAATACAGTTTTTAGTAATGTCTCTCTTGTGGTTCCACATATGGGAATCAGTACACAAGAAGAAGTTATAAAATAACTAAATAGATGACAAAGAAAATAAATGTATGTTTTTCTTTCTTGTTTTTGCTTTTTACAGTTATTCACTGTATAATATCCAACACTTCTACCTCCTTGGGCCTCCTAAAATCCCTAAAACTAAATAATATTTAACAATAACTATACTAGAATAATTATACTTTGAGCTTTATAATTCAGACAGACATTCAACAAATAAAATCCTGTATTCAGTTGTCATTTGTGTCCACACTATCATCCTATCCTGAAATTAGATGTTGACAGTAGGTCAATAACTGAAGTTTTTAAAGCCAAAATCACTGGCTGATACCTACATAGCGTAAGTGCATCTCATAATATGAGCATGTAGAGTGGAGTTGCACAAACAGCTTAAGTCTCTTACTTTGGTATAGACAGTATGTTAGGAACTGGTTTCTAAACATCTGGTAGAGGGCACCTTCAGGCCTGTGAACAAAGACAAGATTTTGGTTAGAATGGAGCCATTTAAAATTAAACAGCAAAAGCATCTTAAAGGCAACATTTCACAAAAGTCATCATACTATAAAACATTTTTATACCACTGTGATGAGAGTATAAACTACCTCCTCTAAAGAAAAGCAGCACTCACCAGGTGAGCATGACTCCAGACAAGAAGGTTGACAAATAGTGTTGAAAAACCCACCAACCTTTGATCCTGAAACAACATGGAGGACTGACAATGAAGGAAACAGGAGTATTTGTAGGACTGCAAGACAGGCAGGATCGGATGCTTTGCATGGTGCAGATACGATGTGAAACAAAAAAGTTGCAGAACATTTGCAGGTAGCCAAAATACAAAATTGTAATGACCCTTTAGGACACAATGTAGTTTGTGCTGCGTTCATGTTCTACACACTGTTCGGAGGACTGAACAAAACAGGCAAACTTCTAGTAGGAATACAACACGATGACAATGAAACTATTTGTGTCTAAAATGACATCTTTTTGCTTCATTCCCTCAATTAAAGTATGGAACAAGGTAACTCTAAATAGGACTATAGAGCTCCAACAAGCTGTTAAAACACACCTGACATGCCTACTTGGATGTTTTACATAAATTTGTTTGCTATGATGACAGTTGCTGGAACCTGCTCCCGAGATCAAGCTTTCCTGCCACGGTCTTGTTACAAAGGAAAACTTCTGCCATATAATTAATGAAAGTCAGAGACACATGTTCAACTTTTCCTCTATTTTGTCTTCCACGCCCCTCTGGATGCCGCCTTCCGATTGGTCAGTATCTGTCACAGTGTGCAGCACCAAACTGTCAGAAATAATGGATTTCAGAGTGCAGCAGTGCCATTGTGGCTGTAGTCTGATTTCAACATGATGTCTTTGCTAATAGATTTGGCTCAGGGTTCACAGTGTCCCCCTGGAAAGCCTCTAAGTGACCAGTTAGTTCATTATTATTTTAATGAAAATGACAGTAAACTTGTCGCAGACCTTGATCCGTTGTTGATGAGGATACTCTCCCGGATGGTGAGGGTGCAGTAGTACCACACCAGCAGGAAGTTGAACAGGGCATCGAGGGCTCTGAAACAAAAATAAAAAGCAGGAATGACGGGTTTCTTTATCACAATAAACATGATTACTGCACTCGATGTTCGGTTGAGTCCACATCCTGCCTTTAAATGTGTTTTTAGGTGCACTAAGAAGGAGCACACAACTTCACCCACAAGTTTTCTCAGACAAGCTCAGCAAACATTAACAAGGTGTTTGGAAGTCTCACCTGTAGCTGAACAGAAAGCGACAGGTGAAGGAGAAGACGAAGAGGATGACCGTGAGGACCAGTTTGAACTTTTCATATTCATCTTTGTAGGCAAATCTGTTTGGTGAAACAAACAAACAAACATGATGTTAGTTTGATGTTGACATGGCTGCACTTTAAAAGCTCATTTTTAGGTTGCAAGAAAATTTGCATCAGCGTGACTCACTTGGACTGTTTGTTGAGGAGTGTTACGTTGACGTTTCCTAAAACAAGAGTGAGGTATAACCTGAACAGGAAGAGGTGTCAGTCAGTCACAGTGCTAAAATCTTCAAATCTTGTTTAAAGCTTCAAATAAAATGTCACGTTTTCTTAGTTTACTACTTTTACTGTGCTGGTGCAACTACTTTAAACATTCGTCATGCACAAATGTGTCATGCACAGTGAAGCACATGACAGAATCCTACCCATTCTTCTTAGGCAGGAAAGCTTCCATCTCAGAGAAAGCATTGGCTCTCTCTTTGATGGAGTCTTCAATTTCAGTGATGGCGTCCATGTCTTCTGGAGTTAATTTGGGTGTTGGGTGATTTTCTTTGCATCTAATCATTGAAAAAAAACATCATGGCATGTCTATAATACAGTGGACACTTGTTTGCATACAGTAATCACCAACATTTTAAAGGGTCTTTTTAATTTAGCAACTTAAGTTTTAACATATGGATCTTGAATGAGCTTTTACAAGACCGATACAAAGATCAACTGAGAATATTCAGCATCCTCCTGGCAGATCTCTGATCAGTACTTACTCTGCTAGTGACGAAGTGAGCTCTTTGAGTTTCTTCCTCTGACGTGTGATTGCACCGGAGCAGCTGTCTTGCAGTTTGGTCACTTCCTCAAGTTTCTGTTTGTATAGACGATGTGTGTCCTGGGGGTGAAAAAAAGATTCTAGAGTTTAATTTTATTGATATTATAAATGATAATAACCTTCCTCATCCTCTTCATAGCCTTAGTCGTGTCACTATATGTTAATTATGTGCCTATACACTGCATGTGAGGCATATTTAGAATGAGGCTTATTGTTTTCCACTGAGAATGTGAGCTATAATTAGTTTCTTAGAGCGCTGCACATTTACCTCTTTCGTAACTGTGCTCCTGTTTCTACATTCACAGTAACTCACACTTTCATTTTAAAGTGCTCTGCTGCAATCAAGCACTTCACAATCCAACTGTCTAAGTGTAACTAAATACATGATTTACTCAGGCGTTATGTGCTTTTTTAGAAAACTATAGTTGAGCCTTTTCTCCAGACCTGATTAAGTGGATCAGCTACAACATGAAAAGTCCATACTAAATCAATTTTCTTAATCAATATCATCATCACTTTCTATTCATTCTGTAACAGTAGGCGATAGACTTTTTTCCTTGACCTCGTGTCGTCTTACATAAAGATACCAATCAAAGTGATGTAACAGAGTGAAAATTTGGAAAAAAATAGCACATTAGTATCACATCTGTACTTGGTTATCTGCAAATATCCTGAACTGAGGCATCAAAATCCGTACTGGGAGAAAAAAAGGTTGCTTCTCAACTGCATTTCTAGGAAATACAGAACTTTTTAACACATATAATGGATAGCTATATAGTAGTTAGTTTTTGGATTACAATTGTACACATAAAACATATGGTGACGTCATCTTCTAAAAAATGGCACGACACTACAGTACATAAATAAATGCGAATTAAGGCAAATGTGGTGAAAGACGCTTTCAGAACCTTCACGACAAAGTACAAAAGCAAATACTATATAAGTAGTACATTCAAAATCTACAATGAGGCAAATTACAAAAGTGTCAAAGGCAAAACTTTAAGTATATATCGTTATATATTTCATCATCATATTGTCAGTACTTACGGCTCAATGCATAACAAGCAATGTATTTTTGTAGCTGTTTGAGGTGGTGTTAGTTTTAACTACTTTATATACAATCAATCAAGTGGCATTCAACTTTTTGAGCCTGAAGATAAATCCGACAGGTCTTGAAATGATCAACAGGGCAGGAAATAAGAGAATCATTGTTATGCTGAACGAATGTGATCTTCAACCAGGCAATTAAATGAAACCATCTGATAAGTTTAAAGGCAAATGCCTCACCAACTGGTATAAAAGCCCTGTATGGTGACAAAGGATTTTCATTGTGTTTTGTTTGTCTTAAAACTTTGATGTGTAAAATAAAAGCTGTGAGAATATGAAGATGTTCACGACTGCCATTCCTCATGTCCCCCTCCTTGACCAGATGACCTCTCAGCTTTACAAGCTGGAAAGAAATGTATTCATTTTCTATGTAGAAAATGGATAACTAACAGCTGTTGAATTTAAAAATATGAATAATCCCCATCAACTGCTTCAGGTGAGTCATTCAGAATGAGCAGCTGCTTGCTGATTACCAAGTTTGTTTGTTAACGCTAAAATCTCTCTTGCAAGCAAAGTACATTAAATGCTCTACTGCTGGCTCCATGAGTGAACACAAACATCTTCATGCACTCCCAGCATCAGAATTGTCAAAGACCAAGTCCAGGAAAACTTGAAGAGCCATTTGAAATCGATAAACATGGAATATGTAGTTATAGTTGACATATAGTTGGTAGTTTTCATGTGGCTTGTTGTGCTTCAGTGCAACTTGGCTCATTTACATCTGTATGCTTCTCTCCTGCCATCTGTATTCACATGTGCTGCATTTTAATACAGCTGAATTCCAAAGAAAGCTGTTTGTATTTATATTTTTTTGTTGTTTGTTTCTGCTGTCAGGCTATGAAACAAGTATCAAAGTAATGATGGGAAGCAGCCCAGTTAGCAGTCACTTCAGAGCCATTTTCAAGCTGCGGCTCTGCACCGCTGAAACACTGACTTCATAAACTCACCAAACATGAGCAAAAAAAAAAAATGGCTGTGATGTGAATTCAGTGATATTTCTATGTAAAGTGACGGCTCAGAGAGAGAGAGAGCTAGAAGCGTCTCATTTACATCTACTTTGGCTGCTCTACAGTCTACTGTTCCTCTCCATGCTGTCAATGGTAGACAAAGAGAGTGTTCTTCCTGAAGGGGGCCTGGACAGCAGCAGCTCAGCTTCATTTAAAGCTACAGACTCTTAAATAGCTCATTTACAACAGGACTCAATCCAGGAGTTATACAGTCATGGTGAAATGAAAAAAAGATTTTGGGCTGAAAAATTAAAAGACTCTCTGGGGACATGTGAGACTTTGATTAACATGATGAAAAGTCGCACAATATGGGATCCCTAATCCACTGTTTTATATAAATATTGCCAAAATCTTGCATGAAAATCCTTCTCAAAGGCAACTTGCAGCCAAAGCTTTCAGATAAATGTGTTGGAGTACAGGATATCCTCTGAAATGTACAGTACCATGTTTAAGGACCTCTAAATTGTACTTAGATTTAGTGAAATAAGCCACTTTGCTGAGATTAGCTCATAATAAGGTTTGGTTTTATAGGTGCTTTATGTAAACTGAAGCATTTCTACTTCACATTGAAGCTAGTTTGGATCTAAACACCTATTCTGTTGTTGCCCAACACTTCTCAAATGCAATATTTCAGTTTCAACAGCAGCCATGATTAACTAAATTGCTTCATAACAACTCTTGTCAGCAGATTTAAACAGGTTCAGTGTGTTTCATGCATCACCGTTTGTGTATTTGAACAGATTGAAGCCTGGAAGCTACCAAACACTGAACCAACACCCAGCGTCCAGCGGTGCTTCCCCAAAACAGCGTCGTATCGAGACAAACGTGACAACGGTTCCGGTGAGATGACAGCAGCTATGTCTGCTAAAATCTGCTTTAACTTTCACTCATTTTTACTTTTTCTCTTAACTCTGACAACACTCTTTTCTTTAGCTGCTGCTGCTGCTAACGGCAGACAGTCCGGGTCTCCACCGCCCCGACTGTTCGTCCAGCGGTTCTCCGCCGTCAGACTGACCTGGATGTGCTGGTAGTCCTTTTCTAAATCGCCCCATTCCCGCAGACACTCGGAGAAGTCGGTCGGAGTGAACAACATGTTCTACAGAGACATGGGGAAACCTCTCGGAGTTGGTTAATAATCCAGCGGCGCTGAGCAACAGTTGGACGGACGTCAACGTCAAAAGCGCACCGACGAAACATCCACACTCACAGCCAGCGCCTTCATAATACAAGCCTCTGGGTACTGGGTTTTGTTTTTGTTTTGTTTTTTTCTTTTAAATTTAATTTTACAACTCTTTCAATCCCTAAAAACTCATCTGTGTATCATAATTAGATTGTGTCAGATTTTTAAGGTAAAAATTGTTGTAAAAAATACAACAAAAAAAGAAAGAAAAGAAAATGTGCCAGAAAGCCTATCAAACAAACAAACAAACAAAAAACAAAACAAAGCCTGCAAAAAGAAGAAGAAGAAGAAGAAGAAGAAAAACTGCAACTATCTGTAAAATAAATATCTGGCATTGATTTAACAACTAAAACTAATTTCTTTGTGTCAGACTTTTATATTTACAGTATTAGATTGTGTCATATTTATATTGCAACAGCATCCTGTAAATAAATAAATAAATAAATAGATAAATAAAAAGCAAGATAAACAACATAAAAAAGAAAAGAAAATGTGCCAGAAAGCCTACCAGACAAAAACCCTATTCAAAACTACCAAAACCAAAACTTAAAACAAAACTGCAATTATCTACAAAATCAATATCTGGCGTTGATTTAACCTCTGAAACTCATCTCTTTGTATCAAAGTTTTATATTTAGAAGTTTCAAATTTATATGATAAAAAATCCTGTAAAAAATTCTAAGAATAAAAAATAAATAAATAAAAACTCTGCATCAAAGTTGCATATTTGAAGGTTTAAATTGTGCACATTTAAACTGTAAAAAAACAAAATAATAATAATTTATTTGGCCCTGAACCTTTGTGTGTTTTCTAACTGCAAGAACTATCCATCCATCCATCCATTATCAATACACCGCTTAATCCTCACTAGGGTCGCGGGGGGGCTGGAGCGTATCCCAGCCGACTTAGGGTGAAGGCAGGGGACACCCTGGACAGGTCACCAGTCCATCGCAGGGCTACACTTAGAGACAGACAACCAAGCACACTCACATTCACACATACGGACAATTTAGAATCACCAATTAACCTCAGCATGTTTTTGAACTGTGTGGGAGGAAGCTGGAGAACCCGGAGAGAACNAATAATCCAGCGGCGCTGAGCAACAGTTGGACGGACGTCAACGTCAAAAGCGCACCGACGAAACATCCACACTCACAGCCAGCTCCTTCATAATATAAGCCTCTGGGTGCTGGGTTTTGTATGTTTGTTTTGTCTTTTAAACTAAATTTGACAACTCTTTCAATCCCTAAAAACTCATCTGTGTATCAGAATTACATATTTAGACGTTTAGATTGTGTCAGATTTTTACGGCAAAAATTGTTGTAAAAAAAATACAACAAAAAAAGAAAGAAAAGAAAATGTGCCAGAAAGCCTATCAAAAAAAAAAAGAAAGAAAGAAAGAAAAAGAAGAAGGAAAAACTGCAATTATCTGTAAAAAAAAAATATCTGGCATTGATTTAACCACTAAAACTCATCTCTTTGTGTCAGAGTTTTATATTTACAGTATTAGATTGTGTCATATTTATATGGCAACAATATCCTGTAAATAAATAAATAGATAAATAAAACGTAGGAAAAACAACAACAAAAAGAAAAGAAAATGTGCCAGAAAGCCTACAAGATTAAAAAAAAAACTGCAATTATCTACAAAATCAAGATCTGGCGTTGATTTAACCTCTGACACTCATCTCTTTGTATCACAGTTTTATATTTAGAAGTTTCAAATTTATATGATAACAAATCCTGTAAAAAATAGTAATAAAAAATAAATAAAAACTCTGTGCATCAAAGTTACATATTTAAAGGTTTAAATTGTGCACATTTATACTGTAAAAAAACTAAATAATAATAATTTTTTTGGCCCTGAACCTTTGTGAGTTTTCTAACTGGAAGAACTACAAACCCCCTTTTTAGACCGGTTTTGAGCGACAACAAGTGCTTACTTCAGGGTACTTTTTACATTCTTCCTAAAGATTATTTTTCTGACAAACCAGGGTCAGTGAATTGACAAATGGGAGCCTCATATTGTTAAAAGGAACAAAAAAAAGGTTTTATCAATACTATTTTGTAAGATTTTTATCTATGAGCAATATTGGGTAAATGTTCATGTTCAAATTGTGTCAGTAATTATGAAATAACATCTTTGAAGAAGTTGGTCTGAAGCATGCAACATGAATTTCAGTGTGACCAAAATAAAAAGTTGTGATGTTTTAATGAGGGCATACAGATGTTTTTGTTGTTGTTGTTTTACTTTGTATTCTTATCTTTTCCAAAATATTATATACAACAGTGCTACACTATTCAACATATAAATACCTGTGATTAAGCTGAGCCGAGATCAACTAGAAACAGCTTTGTTATCACGGTTCAATCTCTCATTATTGTAAGAATGACAACTTTCGTACTTTTATTTTCGAGGCTACACTCGGTGTATCAGAGCTAAAGGTTGTGAGCATTCGCAGCCGGTTTGTCCAATCAGATTTCACGCTGGTGGTTCGTTCCTCGTTTCAGCCAATCAGCGGAAGCTACTTTAAACTACCGCTTCTGGTGTTTGAGGAAATGATCCCTGAGTTCAGACTCTCAGACAACACTACTCTTGTTAAAATCCATTCTCAGGAGCAGCGCTTGACAAGATAACACCAGAACGCTGGGACCATAGTTAACCATGTACACAGAACATAGATATTTCAGTGACATTAGTTAGTCGGTCGGTTCTTCGTCCGGAAGACGCTGTTTGCCTGCAAGGTAAAGCTCAGAGCAAATAGTTGCTTCACAGCTACTTGGCTGGTGGCCTGTATTTTTAGCTGTTACGTAACACTGAATTGGGGAAACTGTCGTCTCCAATATTTGTTGGCATCTCTGGCAGATCCATGTATGGACCAGGACACAACTGATGACATTCAGAAATTTAAATCATTGATAACTTTTGTATTAAAAACAGAAAAGAGCCTATGTATTATACAGAGACTCTCTTTTTGTGTCTTCACATTTGGGAACTATATCCTCATTATGAAGATAAATTTCTTTAATTAGTCTTAGAATTCATTAATTCACACATTAATAATGAAACTAAGCTACTTTAATGACATTTTCAGGCGATATTAACGGAAACATTAATGGATTAAAAATGACTTGTTGACTGATTTGGGGAGTTTTTGAGGACAAAACGTCCATATTTTGAAGCACTATTAAAATGACTCGCTAATTAATATCTTAAGACACTTTAAGTGTCTTAAGGTTTTTATTAAGGCAAAGGGTCTGTTTTTTGGTGAATGTAAGAGGTCGGTTTCCCTTAAAACAGAATCAATTCAAATCCATTAATTTATTTAAATGTACATACTTTATTCAAATTCTATTCTAATTAAATGCATGAATTATCCTTTAATCATCACTATGAAACTGAATGGATTACATTTTTTTTAACATCATCAAACCCTATTAATTTAACCATATTTAATGAATAAATTAAGCTATTTAATTAGACATTTAATGACTAAGTTAATGGATTAAGATTGTGTGTCTTTTTAATGGGCTTTTCGCAAAATTCATAAACTATCCTATTGTTTAGTGTCCACCACGGAATTTGCACCTTGATTAAAATATAAGTGTCTGTAAGGTAAAAAGTAAAAGGTAGTTTTCATTAGATTAATTTAATATATTTTAAGTAAAATAATACATTTAGTTTGAAGTCTGGACTGTTACAGTCCAATGGTAACCCATTTCTAGATATAGTGTCACCACAAAGTGTACACTCAAAATATATTTGCTCGATCAAATTAATGCTGTTATGTCAGCGACTTTCACAGAAGTGGGTTGTGTTTTATGAATCTACAAATTTAGATAATGCTAACTGACTCATGTGTATCAGGCAATTCTATCTAATTATCTAGTCTAATTATCGAGAAGTTATCAAGATGTTTGGAGAGCTGCAGCCTGTCCCTCAAGGAAAAGTCTCTGAGTAACAAAAGTCTAGATTCCTGGCAACAAGATTCTTTTTTTTCTCCTCTTTTTTTTAAATGTATGCAGTGGTAGTGTTTTATCCAGATCACTGTTGAAACCAGTCTTTTGTTAAAATTGAAGTCCAGAGATATCAGTGTGCTTTGTTCCTGCTGTGTGAAGCTCCCAGTCAGACAGCTGCTGCAGAAACCCTGCATTGGGCCTCATGGAGGGTTTACATTTGAGAACGTACTTCCAGGCCTCCTGAAAAAGATTTAGAGAAGAACATTGATACCACTAATGAGGCAGGATATGCTCATTCCTAGGCTCCAAATAAGTGATTTAATTCAGCTTTAATTCATTCTCAGGCCTGTCTAAACATTCTTTAGATCAAAATGTTGCCTTTGAAGAGAATACTTAAAAAAAAAAAAAAAAAAAAAAAAAATAGAAATAATTACTTGGAGCCTTAAAGTGGGAAGACTTTTTCCTGAACTCTGACACTATTGTACAAATGCTGTGCATCTTGTTTGTGTGCATGAACTGAAATCTGAAAATGACAGTTTGTGGTTTTTGGAGGAGTTTTGTGTTGTAGCTGTTCAAAATTCTGGATGCAGGAATAAAGTGTTGGTCATCAAGAGGTACATAATGTAAGTCCCTCTAAAACTACAAGTTGTAATTTTTAATGTTCGAAATAAACAACCTATTAAATAGCTGCTTGTCTCTGACTTCTATTTTAATTTGAAACAAAAATACTTGCAGTTTCAAGACACTTGGAACAGATCACAAACGGTGGCCTCACTAAACTGAATGAATGCCACTTGCCTGTAAAGTGTATTTGAGGTGGTGCATGAGAAAAGCAATGGCCACAGCACTGCAGCGGCTTCTGCCCTGCCTGGAAACTATCAAGACACGAGAGCCTATGTTGATGTGTGAACCTGAAAACAGGAGATAGATAGATTCACCTCCACGTCACTTAATCTACGCAAAAGTAACTGCATTTGTGGAGAGAGAAAAAAAGTCTTAGTACAGCTTCTGTTATGATCAATAAAATCTGTAAATGGTGGATTACACACTACATATAATCTAAAATGTATATTTAAAAACAATTATTGCCAAATCTTTTGTTCTTAAAAGCCCATCAAAATAACTTTTGAGTATTTAATTTAAACATTTCTGAATGTTATCTCATGACATCCCTACGGACATGCAGGAATTTAACCCGAAGTGAGACGTCCTAGTGCATTTCATTCATGTTCATTACTTTAACAGAGTACAGAATGTCCGATTACAATTTATCCAGCTGTAAAACTTTTAATGCCCAAAATGTGCGTGTTTCTTGCTGTTATAAGTGAGAGTACAAATATAATTCCTTATCGATTATTGTATGTGCAGAACTTACCAATAAAACTACAAATCCTTTCAAAACTTGAATACAAATCAGACACTACACTGTCAGCAACCGGGATGTTGAGGATGGTCTGGTTCTCCTTTATAGATCTAGATCTAAAAGAGTGGAAAATATATTTAGAATAAATTCAGAATCTTATCAGATATTTCAAAAACCCAGTCCTGCCTTACTCTGGAGTGTCACACTGTGAGATGCTGATGACGGCACTGATCTTCAGGTCTTGGAGGATACTCATGTTCATACTTTGCTTCTGGTCACCCATATACAGCAGCCCTGTTATGATCTCCACTGGATAAATCTTCAGGTTCTCCAACTCCTGAGATAATTCAGAAATATTGTAAATAGTAAAACCCTCCAAACTGACGACTTCATGCAGTGGAAAGTCGGCTCAAAGGACCATTTGTCATGGATTTAAGGTCCACAAACAACCAGGAAACTACAGGGGAATGGGATTGCAATTAATCATCCATATATTTATCCAAAATTGTATTATTGCCATGATGTGTGTCTTGATGGTTGTCGTGATGAGATGCCATGGTTCTAAATAAAGACAACATGTTACAATATCCTGCCCAAACAAATCAGCCTTCAAGAGCTGTTAATGACATTAAAGGTTTTGTAAAAGTCATGTCAAATGCTTTGGACCACTCACTCAACGTAAAGGTGTCGAGAGCCAAAGGAGAAGAACTCCTTACCTAGGCCTCTATTTACAAACTGGGAGGTACTATAATAAGTTTGAGGGTACTTCAGAAAGTTCTCAGCCTCATCTGGAAACAAGGGCATACCTACCACTTAGGGACATAACTGTACACTATCAAGCCTCATATCACTGTTCACAAAAACTCAAATGTTTGAAGCTATCACAGAAAAAAGGAGAGGAAAGCTTGGAGCTGGCTGCTGTTGCTTCAGGACAATGAGCCCGTCCACACAGCACAGGTGGCAGAAGTAGCTAATTGTGGCTTTAACTGTTGCCCCATGAACCTTACTCACCCGACCTGCACCACCTGACTTCTGTGTACCAAACTGAAATCTCACTTGTGTGCTCGTCATTTGGATGAAATCATCCAGTCTGCCGAGGAGTATCTGGAGACTCAAGATGTGACCTTCTTCCGCTATGGAATAGTGAAGCTTATGGGACCAAGTATATTGACCTAAAAGGAGACTTTGTTTCTCCTCTAATTCCTGATAAAAGCCGAGAACTTTTTGAAATACCCTTGTACACTGAGCCGCTTCTTGTTGCCTACTTGTTGAGTTGAAGGAAAATAAACTTACAGTTACTAACACTGCCTGATAATTATGAGGTTGTAGGAATTAAGTGAACACAGTGGTGTCAGATTTTGCTACGCCAAACAACCATTATGTTTTCAACTGTGAACGCGAGAACAAAGTCCAGTCTAAATCACTGAATTGGAGATACCCTTTTCTTTGTCTATTTCTGTGAACTGGATTCAATTTTCTCCAGATTTTGTACCACCTGGATGACTGAAATCAACCTTCAGAGACGTAACTATGAGTGTATGAATCTTACAATGATGGTGTACAGGATTTTCTCAGTCCTTAGAAAAGGGTAGAGAGCCGAGAACTTCTGAAATCCTCCTCTCACTACATGGACTGGATAGAGGCTCGCCTTCGCCAGAATCTGAGCACAGTCAAGAGCTCTGCCTGCAGTCACAATGAAACCGATGAGCATCATCAAAACAGAGTACAGACATGAATGGTTAAAATGAGGAGCAGGGAACTCTAGGACAGGAGTAAAGGAACTAGTTCCTTTACTCTGCCACAACTGTGCAAGGAAACTGCTGAAACTACAGAATTTTTTTTTTACTATTTCAGCTAAGTACCTTGGTCCTGTAAACAGCTTGTGTTACTGTCATAAATCACCACATGCTGCATACTGTCAACCTCCACACACTCTGGCAGCAGGAATGTGCCCTCTGAATCCTGAAAAGAGTCACCCAGAAAGCTTAGAGTTTGCATAAGCTTAGAGAAATAACATGTTTTTATGGATTTCTGAAGTAAAAATAAGTACATAAGTAATAAAAAATATGTAATTGTGGCAACTACAGAATCGCAATGACGTACATACAATGAGTATGATTTAAAAGGCAATTAAAATGAAATGTTTATTACTTCACTTAGCAGAGCCACATAAATCTAAAAGTCTACTTGCTTTGTGATACAGTCAGTAAAGGGATCTCAACGTTTCAACATTTGAACGATGTAATTTTTAGCATTTCCCTGCAAAAATCCATGTAGAGCTCTCCATGGATGTCTGTGCACTACCTAAAAAATTTTAAAATAGACTATGCTGACAGCAGTAATGTGCATGTGTGGAATATGGAGATGCAACTGTGCGTATATGCAACGAGAAATGCAGTATAATAGCAACAACTACGTGTTTGTGGTATTTGGTAACACTGCGCATTATACTGTGTATGACTGTGTTTGTGACCAGTAAAGACCTTGAATCTTGGGGCGCATGATGTAGAATTCCCATAATTGCCATTGCACAGTGTACAACAAAATGACATCATGAACTAGCAATCCTGTCAACAGTTTTTTAAAGTACAGTAAATGTGCAAATATAAAATATGAAAATAGAGTAAAAAATAGTAAGTACAAGTGTACAACTTGTAAAAACAGTGATGTAGCTCGTTGTTGTAAAGGTAGCTTATTTGGCATTTTAAGAACTACAAAAACAGCAGTGTAACTGATATGAAAATGTAATTGAGTGTCGCAAAAACCACATACAAGGTTCAGTTGCATGTGAACATACAGTATATATAGGTTCAGTATATAAATAGAGGGTCCATATGAGAAGAAGGTGCATAAAGTGTAGGTATTTCCAGACTCTATTAATGTAACAGTTCACAAATTGCTAATAGACACTCACGTACGGACAGTTAGTGTTAGAAGCTGTTTCTCTGTCAGCTTCTGCCTTGGAGGCATGAGGAAAGGCAAGTGAGTAAAATCGAGGCTTAAAGGTCAACACGTGCTTTACCCATCCACGTCCCTGAACAACGGTCTATGTGTGATACTAATTGTTGTGCTATGCATGGAATTCCCGCAGCGTTATAACAGCCAAACGTCTGCTTATTTGTATTAATCAATCCAGGCCTGAAGTGACAGACGGACATGAATCAAGTATACAATGATATGCATACCATTTTGCCATTTTTAGCTGTAATGATGTGACTTGTGTAGTAATCTTGGGTTTCACGGGCATCTAGAAAATACCATACAATACACAAATAAATTAGAACTGAAGTTAAACTGGATGAACACAGAGCAACCAGGCAAATTAAGATCAGTATCAAGCAAGAACAAGGACTTATTTATATGAATTAGTTGAGCTAAATTCTGTCTCCTACCAACCAAACAGAGGTAGTTGATCTCTGCCAGCCTCGACACACTGTGGCGCTGGTTCAGGAGATTGTAGAGCTCAAACGGTTCACACATGATGATTTTAGCCATCGCAGGAAAAACAAGAAAAGAGTTTTTCAGAATCAAATGTCAAGAGGACATTAATCGTTTAATTAGCTTGACCTGTAGAGAAAACATCTACAAGTCAGCATGCTGTGTCCAGTGAGCACACTTGTTGTTTGTGTGGCTTCTGTTGCTAAGCAACTCAGCAGCTGCTTTGATTGGTGGGTGCTGATGATGCGAAGCCTTAAAGTCACAAGTGTCTAATTGTTGGAAAGTACATGTTGATCCACATCTAAGTTTAAGGTGCCTTTTTCATTCTGTGCTTGTTATACAAAAATATATATTTTTAAACTGATTCTTGGTCATTATTTGCTTTCTTATAAAAATAAAAATCTACTTTGCTGGTTAATGCACATTTACAATGTTTATTGAGTGTCACATTAAATTACAATTTAGGATAAATGTAAATTACAATTAAGTGAAAAAAAAATCCATAATTGTCCTTTCTCAAGGTGATCAGACCACTTGTCATCCTGAGAGTGAAAGAATAGGCTCCCAAATGTGCAAGTCTGTTTTAAAGCAGTAGCCAGGTACCTAAATTACATTAGAATTACTTGTTTTAATATGTCCTACAAGTCGTATTGGCAATTAAGGGACGCCGATCAATCACCTTAAATGAAGAGTCCTTCTGTTGCAAAGAAATACACTTTATCTAAAGTTAACAAGGTGCTTCAACAGTCTGAGTTAATCATATAAGACTATTATTAATATAATTAATATTGTTAACCTTAGTAGAGTAGAGGGAAGACTGTCCACCATCACTTAGACTCTGTATACTGTATATAAAAGTGACAACCAGAATATGTTTTACTGCCAAGTAGGCTGTCAAATGTATGGAATTTGATTTGATATTTTGACATAACAGTAAGACACTGACAGGTAGAAAGTAGGATAAAAGAAAAAAAAAATGTTGTAGATTTTAACTCAAATAAAAAAACAAATATAGCAAGTCCATGTCTTATAAAAATAATTAAAATATTTATGATGTGCAGGAGGGCTGCAGGGTGGCGCAGTTGGTTAGCGCTGTTGCCTCGCAGCAAGAAGGTTGCTGGTTCGCGTCCCGGTGGGGGCACTGGAATCTTTCTGCGTGGCGTTTGCATATTCTCCCCGTGCAGCGTGGGTTCTCTCCGGGTTCTCCGGCTTCCTCCCACACAGTCCAAAAACATGTTGAGCTTAATTGGTGATTCTAAATTGTCCGTAGGTGTGAATGTGAGTGTGCTTGGTTGTCTGTCTCTAAGTGTAGCCCTGTGATAGACTGGCGACCTGTCCAGGGTGTCCCCTGCCTTCGCCCTAAGTCAGCTGGGATAGGCTCCAGCCCCCCCCTGCGACCCTAGTGAGGATTAAGCGGTGTATAGATAATGGAGGGATGGATAATGTGCAGGAATGTGCAAATTATTAGCCTGAGAATATACAAGACTACACAGTATGTATACGACCACTGTATTTGTACTATATACACACGTGGACAAAATTGTTGGTACTCCTCGGTTAATGAAAGAAAAACACACTGTAGCACAATGGAAAAGTGTGATGTTTCTGACATATTTTTTAATCTTAAGACAATGCTTGTTTCCCTGGGTGAGGCTAAAGAACATTTTACTGCCTTAGAAGGACAATGAAGTTGATTCTTTGTGTTCTAAAGTATGATGATGTGATCAAAAAGGGTAGAAAAGGGAAAACAGCACTCTGATTTCATGAGCTCCTCAGTTATCTGATAAACACTGTAGTAGAGAAAACAGTCTGCTGGACTGATTTACATTAAATAACATTAACTATGACTGAGCTCTGAGGTTCAGTGTGATGCTCATGTCATGGTGATCAGACCTCAGTAACTTTACTGTTTCTGAAAGAGAAGGAATCATTTCAAGAGATGTTTGTCTCAGTGAAATGAACAGAAGCTGTTAAAAACCAATTAAAAAACAAAGAACAGAACATGGAACGTCACAGTACATTGCATTGTGGCATCACAACGCAAGTTACTGTGACGCCAAAGTGTGTGTTGTGACGTTACAATGCATGTTACTGTGACGTCACAGTGTGTGTTGTGGCATCACAACGCCTCCCTCGGCAGGTAAAACAGCCACAAACCAACTGCCAGCAGTTCAATATTCTTTGTGTAGCGCCATTCTTTAATGCTAACGTGCCAGCATTACACCATCTGTCACTCATCACTTCCCAAAGTAGCTTTCTGACCAATGCTTTGTCTGGACCCATATTACATAAATGTATTTTGTACTGTTAAATGTCAGGATATCAGAATTACTTAAAAGACTATTATGTGTGGTGGAATTGCTTCAGCCCTCCTCCTTCTTCCGGGCTTGGGACCGGCAGAGTGACCCAAAGAGACTCTCTGGCAGAGTTACTGAAGTTTTTGTTATTTATTTATTTATTTATTTTTAGATTTTTATTTTTTTTTTTGGGGGGGGGGTGTTAAGGTTAATTTGATTGAATTTGTTTATTTGATGAAGTTGAATTCATCTTTCTTTTCTTTTTTTTAACGTTTCTTTTCTTTTTTCTTTTCTATTCTCTTTTTTCCTAATTTGGGGACAATTTAGAGCGTCCACTTAGCCTAATGGGGCTTGTGGTTTTTTTTTTTAGTGCTGTATGAAGAAACTGGACCTCTAAGAGAAGCATCTGCGGAAGGCCTTTGCAACTCCTCTCACGATACGTCTCAACCAGCTTTTCTTCTTGGTCTTGGTCTCAGTTTTCATCTCAACCCCCTGCTCCTGTGATGTAGCAGTCAAGGAGGGAGTGGGGCGTAGGACTTCATCTTCCATGTGGCCTATTTTAATGGTGAAGTCCTCGGTTTGGCTGTCGGTCTCTGGACAGCGCTCACCCACTGTAGCAGTCTGGGACGGAGTCTGACGTAGAACTTTGTCTTTGGTGTTATTCGTTTTCACGTCGTCATCCACTTTGTGCATTATTTCAATGCATGAGACCTCAGGCTGGACATTGGTTTCTGCACGCTCTTTCCATGATGTTGCATTCACAGGGGGAGGTTGGACGTTGGGGTCTTCATATTCCTCCCTCAATGCAGCAGCCTGGTGGGGATTTGGATCCCTTCCTTGGTCTTGTAAGTTGCTGGGAGCAAAGAATTGATGCTCCAGAACCTCCTGAGCATTGATTCTGTTACACGCATCAAGGATCAGCATGCTTTTGATCAAGCTGACGAACAGCTTCTGATCAATCTGGTGTTCAATGTCTTCCTCCATAGCCTCCTCAATTTCATCCAGAGAATTGAGCTTGACTTTCCTGGTCTCTGACGCAGAGTATCCATCTTCATAATACACATCTTCTGGAGTCTTAAATCTCCAGCGTGATGTGCCATCTTCCTGGGCATAGAAGAAATCCTCAGTGTACAATCCACTGTCCAGGACGTCATCAGGTGGCTGGCCTTGGGTTTCCACGACGAATCGGAGAACATCGTATTCCGTATCGCCTGGGTAGAGTTCACATCCCATTGCCAGCTCCGCCATTGTGAGACCCAGAGACCACATATCAATGGACTCATTGAACGGTACTCCGAGTAACAACTCTGGTGCACAGTAAGACATAGTCCCCATAAAGTCACCTTGTTCTACCTTTGATACTGGACGTGTCAGGCCAAAGTCAATAAGCTTGACTTTCAGTGGCTGCTGGTGTCGGTCCACAACCATGATGTTGTCTGGTTTTAGGTCCGCGTGCATAATTCCCATTGAGTGGAGGTGGGAAAGAGCTGTGGCCATCTGGTGTAAAACAGGCTTCAGCTCTCCAATAGAAACACCGCAGTTGTTTCGATCCTGCAAATAACCACGGAGGCTTTGATCTAGGAGTTCAAAGGCAATGCAGATATTCTCCTTGTCAAAGAAAAAACCGTCCCACTTGACAATGTTACAGATGTCTGAGTCCAGACACCGTAGTTGCTTCAGGACGGCAATTTCAGCAATTGCTGAGTGCACAAAGCCTTCTTTGCCCCTGATGACCTTGACTGCCACCACATTGTTGGTCTCTCTATTGCGGCATTTGGCTACCATGCCAAAGCCACCCCTACCGAGGATATCCTCCACCACATGGCAATTGCCAAGTGTGCTTCCTTTTCTAATCCTGAGGTTGTCTGCCATGTTTTTCCAAAGGATTGTTGGTTGGTAAATTCGCTAAAGAATGTCTTTCTGAGCTGGTTGAAGCTTGCTATTTAAGCTGGCTTGTGCTTGCAGAAGACTGTCTTCCCTTCAAGTTGTGTCTTTATTGTCTGAATTCTCACACAGATATATAAGAATTTTGCTGAAGCATAGCCTATGTCATCAAAGACTCCCGGAAGTGACCTTTAATTTGGTTGCTAGGCAACCAATGAGTCCCAAGCTCTGCGCATGCGCAGCCAGCCAGCCGTCGAAAAGTTTGAGTCAAACTGTGATACTTTCATCCAAACGGCGTCGAACTCGATACTGCGCTTCCTCTGGTCCACAACAATGCACCCAGCAGGTCTCAATCTGGTAGGATGCGAAATAATAATGACAAAATAATTATTTGTTTCATGACTTTGATAAGCGGCCAGTGGTCAACGTGGCTTCACTTCACCGTAATCAGAACGGTTGTTTGTCCCGCCTCGGACTGTTTCGGTGTGTGCGCCTGTTGAAGGTCACAGAGAAGCTGTGACTCCGACAGTGAAACGTTGTTGAGTTTGGCGGAGCTGGTGTGGACCAGGACACCTGTTATTTTCCACTTGAGTCTAAAGAGGCTTGACGCTGTTTTCTCCGCTAATAGGTGATAGTTTACGCTGGTGAGTTAAGTCCGAGCTTCAGGCAGCTAGCCGTTATGCTAAACTGTGGTATTGTTTACGGAGTTGACTTGTGCTAAGGACGTTAGCGAGCTAGCAACGTTAGCCGAACGGCTAATCCACATTCACACGAACTAATTGGGTAAGCTGTCTAACAGACTGCCCTGAGTTGAGAAAATTACGAGACATACATGTTCTGTGTACCGGTGTAATTGTCAGACTGTTCGATATTCTGTGTGGGTTGGCTGTTATGTTGTTAAGCTTATATTTGTGCCCGAAATGATCGGCTGCGCTGTGTATTAGCTAACCTAATGGATTTGGTGTTCTGCTGTCATAGACAGAACTTTTTAAAAGTGATTTTTAAGTAAACAGTTTTACAACAGAATTACAATTGAACAGTGAGCAAATGTGTTTTAAGCTTTATTCTGTGCTCAGTAGTGTTCATAGGTTCATTCAAAGTTTAAAGAGTTTTACGCAGGCCTTCCAGAGACTCGAAGAAGATTTGAGAACTTTCTGTTAAATGGATGGTGAGCCACACCCCATATGGAACTGAAGACCTTAACCTGCACCTGAAGTCTGGTGGAGTCTAATTTTACTCTCACATACAGTTTGTGTGTCTGTGTGTTAGCTGCCAGCATATGTAATATACTTGGGTTTGTGCATGTGTTTGTGTTCTTACACACCAACGATTTTTTACATTTGTGTTAATGAACATTGTCTGCATCAACTCTGGTGAAGTGGGATCTCATTTTTGAACATTTACTTCTCTCCTCCATGGTCACTAAGAGCAGAGTCTCAGTGTCCTGCACAGAGCTGCAGATGAGTGACAGAGAGCTGCTCAGCTACTCACATACAGGCTCTGGCAGACAAAACCCTCTTCTGGATTTGGAGAGCCAAAATGCATCAAAGACTAAATGTTATGGTGAGATAGAATGTGCAACATAGGGATATTTCTAATTCCTCAAGTACCAATGGCAGATCTGATCATCTTGAAGCTTATTGATGAGGTGTCATATGTTTGATGTATTAGCTAGCATATAAATGTACATTTTAAATGTTTATTCATGGTATTTGTTTATCTGTCTATATTGTCACTCAGCCTCCTCTTGTGGAGGCCCAGTGAAGTGAAAATGACATATTTGATGCAGACATTCATGGTGCCCTGATAGTGTATCCTTCTCTCTTCAATCTGGCATTACCAGAGGTTACTATTCAACCACAGACCGAATATAAAAAATGGACAGAACATCTGTGTCTGAAAAGTGTAGTCAACTTAGAGGAGATTTAAACCTGTACTATTTCTAACAGCCAGCAGAGGACAGTTGTGCAGAGTAAAAGTTTCCACAAACTTTAAAAGTCTAGCAGTACTACAAATTATCTCTAAACAAAAAGACAATTTGTGGGCCGCCGCTGTAGCTCAACTGGTTGAACTGGCGACCCATGTACAGAGGCTACAGTCCCCAACGCAGCGGCCATGAGTTTGAATCCCACTCATGGCATTTTGCTGCAATTCCTTCCCCATTCTTCTCCTCACTTTCCTGTCTCTCTCTCTCAAATGTCCTATATAATAAAGGCAAAAAAAATAATTACTTGGAAAAAAAAAAAAGACAATTTGTACACAGAACAGAGTTTCGATGGTGAACCACAGAAGTGTTAAGGCAATGCACCTGAAGAGAAACACATGGGTGCTATTCAGAGGACACAATTCACATGTCTTTGCTTCTCTCCTGCTCTCTGTACTCACATGTACTCCATTTTAACACAGTCAAATTTCCAATAAATCTGTTCGTGTTTACATATTTTTCTGTTTTTGTTGTCAGTTAATAGAACAAGTATGAAGAATTGACTGAAATGCAGCCCATTGAGACTCTCTCTGCAGGCACTTCAAGACATCCAGCATTTAACCAATTATTCAATCAATTATCCAATACGTGTAGCTTCTTATTTGAACTACATCCATCATCTCAGTTAACAAACTTGTGACCTGTGTATGATTAAGGTGGTAGTCTAGATTTAATGAAATCATTCTGTGGTGAGAGTCCAGCACAAACCAGGATATCAGGGTGCGCAAGGCGATGGCTTGGAAAGCGCTGAACAGTATGAGTGTGGTGTGGAGGTCAAGCCTTTTGAGAGAGCTCAAGATCAGATTCTTCCGGGTGACAGTCGAGTCCATTCTCCTGTACGATAGCGAATGCTGGTCCCTCAATACATCGCTGGAGAAGTCTCTTGATGGTACATATACCAGGATGCTCCAGGCTGCTCAAGACATCAGCTGGCGGGACCGTGTTTCTAACATCACACTCTATTGTGACCTGCCATGCTTCACAGATCGTATCGCCTGGAGGAGACTTGGCTTTGCCGGCCACTGTTACCACCATAGGGAACTTCTGCCAGCCAGCTCGTTCTTTGGGAGCCATCCCACAGCTGGCAGAAGCCGGGAAGACCTGCCACCACCTTCCTGGACACCCTAAAGTGGGATATTGGTGCGACCACCTCAGCCAAGCTGTCCACACGCATGACCAACAGAATGGATTCGAACCAAAGGTATGAAGCTCGGCTGAAGCCGCCATGATAATGATGATGATGATGATGATTATGATTATGTGAGAGTCCACAGGTGGTGTTGTCAGTTTTACTAGGTTATAGTGCAGTACCACAGAAACTTTCCTTCTCTCTTCCACCCTTCTTACCCCACCACAAAACCTTTTACATTGTCATATGTCTGTCCTTTGTCTATATTTCATACTGTACTGCACAGTACAACAACTTAGTTTAACAAAATAGCATCAGCTGAACTTAGATAGTCACTTTGCCTTCTGACTAAATTACTAATCTGTAAATATCTGATTAATCTATAGAAAAATACACTTTAGCGGCAGCACTACATACGACCAAAACAGTGGTGGGCAAATGTTGACCCTGAGGGTTTAAATCAATTGTCCAAAAACCGCTAGGTACAGTCTATGGTTCACATGTGAGCTCACACAAGTGTTCGCTTCCTTTTCCCCCCAACTAGTCTCAGTTGAGCTGCTGCTACACCTTCAGTTACTTTAATCATTCTACATGTTTTTATTGTCCAGAAGCTCCACTTCCTGCAGCATCCATGATACCAGCCAAATACTGAAACTGACATGAAGGACATTCATGGTCCTCACAGGTCATAACTCCTGATCTTGGCAACAACTGGCAACAAATAAAACTGTAAAAATTGCAGCCAGTTTCTCACTTATAGATTTTCATATTCTCTGGATGATTAAGCCACATGTTTTGGAGAGTCCCTGACCTTTACTCCAGCACCAACAGTGGAACAAAATGTTTGTTTTCACATTACAAATATCAAATTCTAATGAAATCACACAAATCAAAATCATAAATGCTGTACACTGTCCCTGTTTCTCATGACGGAACTCTCAACAAACTGAAATTTCATGGCAAAAGAAACCTTTTAACATCAAAACTTTAACACATAAAAGGCTTTGACTTGGTTTTTATTAACAAGGAATCTCTCCAATGCATTTGTTTTTCTACCAGATAGAGGGGCACTGCTTCATCTACATTTATAATAAACTGGCTGCAAGAATTAAATATCGTTTTCCACAACTGTCTTCTGCAGGCTGTGCTTTAATGTAAGACTATGTATGTGTTTATAGTGTCATTGCCATATCGCACTTAAATGATGCTCCTACAAACTTTCCCTTCAGTTAATATATTCTGTTTTTTCAGTCAATACTTTAATGCTCTCCAGATTATATTGTTGTCCCTCTGAAGACATCTTCATTTATATTTTACGGCTAACCTTAACTTGAAAGAGATATGTTTGAACACCGATGCACTAGTTTTGGGGGGTGATGGATACTCAAGTCCATCAAACTTTTTTGTTGATGGAAATTAATGCTTTTCCAATACAAACATTATTATAGCTAAAGTCATAAAGTGAACATCCAGACACACCCACTTTTGTCCTGCTTCTACTGTGGCTTCTGAGAACAACATGTACTCAGTCCCAGCAGAGTGTGAATGAATGACTGTGTCCTCCGTCCTGCCCCGAGTCGCAAATCATGCTGCTTGTCTGGGAGCAAAACAAAGCTTGAGACCCAAGATGAAGGCAGAGAAGGACGCTCCTTCTAAAGCCAAAATAACACACCAGATTTTATTGCTCGTATGCCTCGGACTCTTCAATTCAGGTATGTCGCCTTTTTTTTTTTTTTTGCTACAAATTTGCTTTAAAATTTGCTGCACAAGTAGATCAAATAACAATAGACCATGCATGGTGTCTGATAAATTTTGCAAAGAGTGAATTGCAAAAGATGAATATAGTTTAAAATATAGCAAATAAGTTGGGTTATTTTCATGTTCATGTTTAAGTAGGAGGGGATCAAAAATGTCTAATATATAATGGATATCAATTTCAAAATAACCATTTGCTTGCAGTGCTGCAAATGAAACAATCAGAGGCTGTTTGCAGTATTTAAAAAAAAAAAGACTAAATTTTTCATTATAACCAACAAATACTGAGGCTGATATGCTTTTATAATAGCAAACTTGAGTTTTTGGAAGAAAAAGACAACTGGAGCTGATTTTAAAGTTGCAAACTTTCTTTATTCAAGTACAAACAGAGCATGTAAATTGTTTGACACAGTATGACATCGCCACAGATTTATGGTAATTTGTGCAGAGTTTTGCATAATATTACGACATATTCGCTCTCACAACAGTTTATGGCTTCAGAAAAAGTAGATTTCAATTGACAACTTGTTGAAAACTGGACATCACAACAGTCACAAAGGTAGTGTTTGTTGTCGGGGTGTTGGATTGCTTTAGACTATGTGGGTGTTTTTACAGTCTTGTGCCCACGCTTTGTAAGTAATACTGTAATTGTGCCTACAGGCTGTACCAGAACCAGTGTTTTCACATGTTTTCAGCTGTGGCTGTATGTCATCACTGTCCGGCCATTGTTGTGGCGAGCAGCAGAGTCACTGAGCTGCTCTGTTTCTGCAGAGCTAGCATGGCGTCTGGATAGCTCCCAGTGCTCTTTTCATGAACTGCCAAGAAGGAAATTTGAACAAACAATCCCCACTTTTGTTGGCTCACGCCGGCCCATCCCAGAGGCTGACAGCTGTTACCATGGTAATGTGGATCTGCCATGAAAAACGGGCTCCAGTGTACAGCAGTGACGGGGCGTGGTGCCCACATCACGTATTTTCCACAGTGATACAGTAGTTCGTCTTCATCTAATGACCATATCAGTTACTGTAGGTAGAACAGCGCTGACATGCACAGCTGAATGTACATGCACAACTATTTACAGTTACATTTATGTGCAAAAACTGTTTGTAAAGCTGCTGTAGCTCTGTTTCCGTGCAAATCACTTTCAGTTTGGAGGATTCCTCGGTGCACAATGCGCTTGTGTTCAGGGCCCATGCAGGGAGTTGTGTCCTTTATTGCACATATACAGCTGAATAAACAACATGGCATGACACAACAAAAGTAATTTGTATTTAAGATTTCTCAGAAAAAGGAACGCTTGTAATGACATGACAAAATGAAAGAAGACAAGCAGCTGAGGGAAAGAAGGTTTAGTAGATTTATGTTGTTGTCTTACCACCTGTTGTCTGTTTCATATGATTTGTTGTTTTTCAGCTGACTTAAAATGACAAACTCATGAATTAATTGGCTCAATATATTGATTTCAATATAAATGTTACTGTACGTGGCTTGATTAAAAAAGAAAATGCATGTATTTCCTTTGAGCTGTAGGTTGTTTTCTGCAACATATGAACTAACATGAGAAAGAAAGCTTCACATTTTATTTGTTAATTCTGTTGGTTTCCTTCACAAGTTAGAAAGTCTGAACTTATTTATTAAGGAGGGGAAGTAATGGGCTCACAGCATGATTAGAGATAAATTAAGGCAGTATGACATTTTTTTAACTCTTGGTTTCAAGTTTATTAGGTAAAATTATGCCTTGCAATGACTTCTACCTTATTAAAACATGTCTGAATTTGTTAAAACTGTTTCAGAGAGTTGAGGTTGTTTTGGAGGCTGTAGTTTATGGAGCTGCTGAAATGTAATGTGCACAGAATTGCAGTTTACCTGAAGACTTGAAACCTTTTCTCGTGCCTGTGTAGTTACAATAGAGATACATGCACTCTCAGCCTATCTTCACCACTTTGAAAAAATCTGTCAAATTAAAAATGGTCAGGCGTGGGTCGTTCAGTAAATTGGGGCCGGATGACCCTCGTAAAGGTGCTGCTTTGGATTGGGGTGAAGATGCAGAAGAACCTCTAAAGCAGAATCTCTCCTCTTATGTTTCTGTGCAGGTGAAGTTGTGACAGTGAACATGACTATCCCCAACACTCTCATCAGAGGCTCCGTAGGAGGCGAAGCCCTTCTGTCTGTCAGCTACAGCAGCTTCAGCATCGACCCACCGGTCATCAAGTGGCAGCTCCAGAGAGAAAAATCTGTCACTGTGGTCCAGTCGATTGGAACCGACATTATCGGGACCCTGAGGCCCGAGTACCGAGACCGCATCCTGGTGTTTGAGAACGGGACTCTGCTTCTCCACAACCTCAGACCCTCTGATGATGGAACTTATGACGTGGAGATCTCCATCACGGATGACACGTTTCCAGGAGAGGGCAGCATCACACTCAGTGTGGACGGTAGGAGGACCAGTTCACCTTTATGATTCTTTGAGGGCATCATAAAGGTGCAAGAACATTTTACTCTGCTTCAGAAAACATGCATCTGTGTCTGATCTAAAGTCAAGATTAAGCTTCAAGTTTGAGTATTGATATCTTGACTCACATTTACACACTCTTGAAGTGATAAATTATGTTTTCATGGAGACAAACTTGATAGACTTTACATTTCGTTTGGAAGTTGTTAAAGATTTGTGTAATTTTTCTGACTTGTAAGCTGCAAATTTTCTCACTTTTGAGCCTGTTTATGCTCAGAGAAGAAGCTGCAGATATTTTTAGTCTGTAGCATCTTGCATACCTGCAGTCGTCCTCTCCAAGTTCAGGGATTTCACCTGAAGAATTCCATGTTTCAGTGATTTCTCGGGCTGTGCTGGAGCCAGTTTGACGTGCAGTGAATCCTACAGAACATTTTTGACCTTTCCTCAGATTTAGGTAACACGATTCAATCTCTTCTCACTCTTCTGAGTGTCACACATATTTCTACACAAAAGCACTCTTCTAACCGTGTAAAGTTTTGCAGCTTACTGTACAGACTCAAAGGTCTTACGCATCCACGGAGGTATTTTCTCTTCGACTGACGAAGCTTCTGTTCAGGTTGTGGGTGGATGAAGTTATGCCTGGAATCATGAGTTCACTAGACTCCATGAATCAATGGCAGCGCTCCCATTTGACTGTTTTGGCGTGTTGTTTGTTACGCAGCAGAAACAAGAAACTAAACTAAAGGGGTGCATGATGCTGAATGTGTAGAAATGCTGTAGGAAATCTTAATTTAATCTTTTCTTTGGTTTTTAGTGTTGACAGTGACACTACAGAGAGGAATCCTATCAGACTGAACCAGTACAATCTATGTAAAACGTCTTTCTGTCTATTTTGGAATTTTTGTTTACTTGTAGCACAAAGAACTCAGTTCAAGTTGAGATTGAGTGCTGCACGTGTTGTTTTATGTGATGAATTTAAATGGAGGGAAAACTGCTGCACAAACGAGCACAGTGCTGGTTTTGGAAATCACTTATTAAGCTTGATAAAGATTTTATTTGTCTCTACAGCAGTGAAGAAGAGGTCAACCTAACAGAGTACACACAAAGACCTTCAATTCTTCAGTGAAAGAAAACAAACTGCATTTAACTGAAATTATTCTTTAGGTGTGTCGTAAGACTGGCATCTTTAATAGAGGAGTGCAGGGGCTCATCTCATTTCTTTATTATGAGCCTCCTCATCGTCCTCCAGCCTATCAATCTGATAGTTCCCTTTTGAAAGATTTCTCAGTTCTTAAAAAGCATCTTGAGGAGGTTTTTGCTGGAGGAGATATGAGCGAGGATGCACATGAGTATGCGTATATGATGCAACTCAGTGATCTGTGTAATGACTGGCATCAACGCTGCCCACATAGCAGCCTGAGTGAAGGTCACCTGTGTCTTCAAAAAGAGTAGGAGGGACCAAAAATGTTGTAAAGCAGCCAGTCAGTGTCTGGAGGAGCTTTTCTTCCTACTCTGCTACAGAGAATCTTCTTCCAACTAATGCTATAACTACTTCATAAAACCTTGCAATACATTGTCGTTTTCTAAATATCTAACTTTATAAGTTCTTGGTTGCATTTTTACGCACTGGTGAATTTTTAATCTGACATTTTAGAAAAGGAGCAGAGTTGGTGATCTTCTGTCTATTTGTAGATTAATGTCCCACCAAACCGAGAAGCCAACATTTAACCGAAGGGGTTTTAAGGTTATTTTTTATGAGATGGCTATTTTATGTTATTTTACAGTATTTTTTGGGCACTTTTATCTGCCAGGAAACTACATTGTTTTCTTTTACAGTAACTGTCACCTACACACATGGACAAAATTGTTGGTACCCCTCGGTTAATGTAAGAAAAATCCACAACGCTCACAGAAATAACTTGAATCTGACAAAAGTAATAATAAATAAAAATTCAATGAAAATTACACAATGAAAATCAGACATTGCTTTTGAACCGTGGTTCAACAGAAATATTTTAAAAAATAAACTCATGAAACAGGCCTGGACAAAAATGATGGTACCCCTAGAAAAGACTGAAAATAATGTGACCATAGGGACATGTTCAATCAAGGTGTGTCCTCTAATTAGCATCACAGGGGTCTACAAATGTGTAATCAGTCAGTCGGCCTATTTATAGGGTTACAAGTAGACACTGTGCTGTTTGGTGACATGGTGTGTACCACACTAAACATGGACCAGAGGAAGCCAAGGAGAGAGTTGTCTCAGGAGATTAGAAAGAAAATGATAGAGCAGCATGGTAAAGGTAAAGACTATAAGACCATCTCCAAGCAGCTTGATGTTCCTGTGACTACAGTTGCACATATTATTCAGAAATTTAAGATCCATGGGACTGTAGCCAACGTCCCTGGACGTGGCAGCAGGAGGAAAATTGATGACAAATCGAAGAGACGGATAATATGAATGGTAACAAAAGAGCCCAGAACAACCTGAAAAGACATTAAAGGTGAACTCCAACCATTGTTGAAAACAAATCATAAAAAAGCCAGACTTGAATTTTCCAAACTGCATGTTGACAAGCCACAAAGCTTCTGGGAGAATGTCCTCTGGACAGACGAGACAAAACTGGAACTTTTTGGCAA